AAAATCATTCATTGTCCAAATGGCAATAGATTAGGAATGGAAGAGGTGCAGTATGACCTGGGTGTATTTGCATGGTAAACTCGCAGCTGGAGCTGGTAAATGTTATGTTGGCTTTCATAGAGAGGGAATTATTGTACAGGGCCTTCTGAGAGCACACCTTGAGTTTTGGTCTCCTTATCTGAGGAAGGGTGCTGTGACTATGGAGGGACGGAACAAAGGTTTACCAGCTGGATTCCTGGAATGGCAGGACTGACATATGGAGAGAGAATGGATCCGTTAGGACTACATTCACTGGAGTTTAGCACTCTAATCTGGACATTTTATTGAACACAAATTTCACCATCTGCCATGATGGGTTTCAAACCCATGGCCTGGGGCTCTGAATTACAAATGACGGTGCCCAGAGTAAAACACAAAGGAAGTGCACAAAGGAAGCTTTCCAATGAACTACTGTAAATGCTTCCGAGGCGTTGGAATTCTGGGAAGCACAGCACTGTTCTTACTCAGATGGAAACCCACAAACAGAAGTCAGCTGCATGACCAGTTCGTTGGTTCAAGTGGTGTCAGTTAAGGGGTAATCAAGGAACAGTTGAGGACTCAGTGGAGTTTAGAAGGATGAGAGGTGAGAGAACGGGATAGAGTGGACAAGGAGAAGATATTTTCACGAGTGGGAGAGACTGGGACCCAAATGAGGAAGAATATCTTCAGCCAGAGGGTAATGAATCTGTGAATCATTGCCACAGAGGACTGTGGAAGCCAAGTCATTGAGTATATTTAAGGCAGAGATAGATAGGCTCTTGATTTGTAAGGGGATCACGGGTCAAGGGGAGAAAGCAGGAAAATAGAGTTGAGAAACATAACAGCCATGATTGAATGGTGGAGCAGACCCAATGGGCAGAATGGCTTCATTCTGCTCCTTTATCTTATGGTCTTACAAGGTAGAAGAACAGAAGCAGTCCATTTAGCATGTCAAGACTACTCTTCCATTCAATGAGATCATGGCTGAGGGGAAAAATTTAAGGGAGATATGCGTGGAAAGTTCTTTACGCAGAGGGTGGTGGGTGCCGAGAACGCATTGCCAGCGGAGGTGGTAGAGGCAGGCACGATAGCGTCATTTAAGATGTATCCAGACAGATACATGAATGGGCAGAGAGCAGAGGGATACAGATCCTTGGAAAATAGGCGACTGGTTTAGATAGAGGATCTGGATCAATGCAGGCTTGGAGGGCTGAAGGGCCTGTTCCTGTGCTGTAATTTTCTTTGTTCTTTGTTCTTTTTGATAGTCCCCAACTCCACTTTTCTGCCTTGTCCCTTTTGATTACATTACTGATTAAAAAGTCAGTGTCAGCCCTGGGTATACTTCATGACCCAGCCTCGACAGCAAAGAATTCCATGGATTCACACCTGTCTGAGGGGGAAAGTACCTCCTCACCTCAGTCTTATAATTCATAGAATCCTGACAGTGTGCAAGCAAACCATTCAGCTGATCAAGTCCACACTGACCCTCCAAAGACTTCCCACCCAGCCCTATAAACCTGCATTTCCCATGCCTAACCTACTTAGCCTGTGCATCCCTGGGTGCTAGGGGCAATTTAGCATGGCCAATCCACCTAATCTGTGCATCTTTGCACTGTGGGAGGAAACCCAGGGAGAATATGCAAACTGCACACAGACAGTCACCTGGGGCTGGAATTGAACCTGGGTTTCTGGCCTTGTGAGGCAGCAGTGCTAACCACTGAGCCACCATGCTGCCTTCATAATTATGTGAAGGAAACTGCAATGGTGAATTGTCCATGGGCAGTCTTAAAGCCTATAACTGTGAAAATTCTCAACATGCCAACAAGTGTCTGAAATTAGAAACATAAGTAAACACTTCAAGTGTAACCTTTCCTCAGATAAAGTGTTTTCTATCTTCATAGGATGAATGTAAATGGTTAGTTAATGTTCAGATTTTTGATGCAAACAGGCCCTCATTTTAGTAGTAAAAACTGTCATTCACATCCCTCTTAATGCCCCAAAATATCCCGAGGTGCTTCAGGTGCACAATCAGAAATACACAGACATCAAGGTAAGCAAAGGAGATATTAGAAAGTGACAAAAAAAAACTTTGTCAAAGATGTGGGTTTTGAAGGGTGCCGTTTAAGAAGAGACAGAAAGAGAGGGATGTGGAGAAGCTTAGTGTGAACATTCCAGAAGAACTTAGATGACTGAACACTTAGGGCATAACTAACGAGAGTAATGATTGACAAGAGGCTTGAGGCAGAGAAATGAGTTAACATTTGGAAATACTCAAGGTTAACTTGGATATACCCAAGGTTACTGCAGGAAACGAGGGAAGAAATTGCTGCCCGTTTGGCATAATTTTAAGGTGATTGAAGGAAGGTATAAGGGAGATGTCAGAGGTAGGTTCTTTACACAGAGAGTGGTGGGTGTGTGGAATTCGCTGCCGGCTGTGGTAGTGGAGTCGGACACTTTACAGACTTTTAAGCGACTCTTGGATAGGCACATGGGGGATAGTAAAAACTAGGGTATGCAGGGTAGTTTGATCTCAGTAGGATAATAGGTCGGCACAACATTGTGGGCCGAAGGGCCTGTACTGTGCTGTACTGTTCTACGTTAAATGTTCTAAAGTGGAACTGCCTCAGGGGATAAAGATCATTTGACAGTGGGAAGGATGAGACCTTGAGGGTATTTAAACACAACGAAGAGAGTTTGAATGGTCTTAATTTGAAATTGAATTGTGTCTCACCGTGGATCAGTTAGTAGCTTTCTTGTCTGTGAATGAGAAAGTTGTGAATGAAAGCCTGACTCCAGGGTTTGAGAGTGTGCTCTGCACTGACACTGCAGAGCCTGACTGTTTTGTCAATGATGCTGCCTTTCAGAGAATAAAATTTTGTTACATGGGACCAAATCATGATATTTTCAGATTTCTTCTTCAAGCTGTGTGTATAATAGTCTGAGATACAAACAGATGTCATCGTTCCAAAGGATTCCTGTTGACCTATTTCCGCTGAGATTCAATTTGGACGGATTGAAACAGGCAGACAAATTGAGAAATGTTTCTGAACAGTGACGCAATGACAAAAATAATTTCTCTTACTTTTTATCATGCTTAGGATGTCGAAAACACTCAAATGGTTGCATTTCTTACCAGCCGTGAGAAATTGGTGATAGGAATTATCCATGACATTTCACCCCAATGGTGTCCTCATGATGATATCAGATCTGGTTATTTGGACCTGACTGCATCATATGGATGTGTCAGGGTGGTGTGTGATTTGGAAAGGGCCAGTCTTCTCATGGAGTTGCTGCCTTTCTCCCTTTCAGCAATAAAAGTTGCATTAGAGAGAGAAGGAAAAAGAGAGAGAGAGACAGAAGACACATTAGGTCTAAACTCATAGTAAGTACTCTTGAAAACTACTTTGGGATATAGGAATGAATGATATACATTCCACGAGAGATGCCATCAGCCCATTGCAGTCAGATACCCGCAACCGCTGCCCGACAGGTGGAATTTACGATTGATTCACAAAGTCATGTCCAGCTCAAAGGAAACACAACAATTATGCTTAAAATGGAATCACTTCCCGAAGCTGCTGGTCGTCGATGAAGGTTTCATCTGTTCAATTCATGGTGCGGCCTGTGCATATCGTCAGGCAAGGTAAAGCTCAAGGTTAATTTAAGGAGTACTCAGTAGAGATTGCATGCATTTCAGTGTCGTTCCTCATCAGTGGAAATGCGAACATAACCATATTGATTTACAGACTCTACCATCAGCATTTTTCACAGCTCTCACTGCTGTGACAGATGCTGTTCGGGCTTACAAGGGCTTGATTCGTCCAGTTTTGGGAATCCAGTAGAATGTCAACCTTGGAGGCAGTACGGACTGCAAATGCTGGAAGCTAGAGTCAATAAATGTGGAGCTGGAAAAGCACAGCAGGTCAGACAGCATCCGAGGAGTAGGAAAGTCACTGGGCTGAAATGTCGACTTTTCTGCTCCTCGGATACTGTCTGACCTAGAATGTCAACATTGACAGGTTTCATTCAGCTCTGTGGACTAAATGGAGGTCAACTTTCTCGATAGGCTTGTTGCACATTTGAAGACACCATTAGAGCACGCATTAACATGATCAATGACATTAAATACACTTACCGGTATCTTTCCTTATACACCAGGATTACTGACATTCTTCCCATGCCAACACTTTTGCTCAATTTGAGATATCTATGTTATGATTGTATGAAAATGAACTATCAATATTCAACTTTCATCATTCCACTGTAATACCACAGACTTTCATGGTCTAAAAAATAGCTTTGAAAAGGACAAATTAATAAGATCCCAGATGATGGTACGACTAGATAAATCAGATCGCAGAACAAAATCCAGCTTTTAGATCATGTTTCTTTATTTTAGTTGATGTCATTCACATAGGCATCTCCTTCACTAATCAAGAACCAATCTGTCTCTCTCTTAAGTACACTCAATGACTCGGCCTTCACAGCATCCTGTACCAATAAGTTCCACAGATTCCCCACATTCTAGTTGAAGAAATTCCTCCTCATTCTCAGTTCTACAGTGTTGTCCCTTCACTCTAAAGCTGTGCTTTCGGGTCCTAGACTCTCCTACTAATGGTCACATTTTTTCTGTGTCCAAATTATCCAGTTCTCTTAGTATTCTGTAAGTTTCAATCAGATCCCACCTCCCCCCCAAACCCCACCCCCGCCCCCATCCTTGTAAACTCGATCAACACGGACCCAATGTCCTCGACTGCTCCTTGTGTGACAAGTTCTTCATCCCTGGGATCATCCTTGTCAACCTCCTCTGGAACTCCTCCAAAGCCAACACATCGTTCCTCAGAGACAGGGCCCAAAACTGCTCACAATATGAAACGTTTTGGATTTAGATCTTTTCATTCCTGTAGATCAAAGTCTCTCAGAAAAATTGTAAATTGCAACTGCCTTAACCTTCCTGCCTGTATTTGATAATATTTGATAAGCTGAGGTGTTGAACAATAAAACTTCACATTTCCTCACTCAAGTAAACCTGGAATTGTCTCTTCTTTACTCTTGATCTTTGGTTTAACTGAGCTTAATTGAAGTATGGCAACTACATGTTGAAAAAAAAATAGAAAGTAGAAACTAGAACTAAAATACATTGTCATATGTTTTGGTGAGTCATCTGGACTCATCTAGCCCCAGCTGGATGTTGTGGTGGATTAGAAAGTCTCATGGAATGCAGATCAGTTCTCTCAGTTTCTCCTAGGGTAGCTTTCCCTCAAACACAGCCGTAAGGCACTGGAAGAAGTTAGAACAAAGAACAAAGAAAATTACAGCACAGGAGCAGGCCCTTCGGCCCTCCAAGCCTGCACCGACATGCTGCCCATCACAACTAAACCCCCTACCCTTCCAGGGACCGTATCCTTCTATTCCCATCCTATTCATGTATTTATCAAGACGCCCTTTAAAAGCCACTGTGGTATCTGCTTCCACTACCTCCCCTGGCAGCAAGTTCCAGGCACCCACCATCCTCTGTGTAAAAAACTTGCCTCGTACATCACCTTTAAACCTTGTCCCTCGCAGCTTTAACCTATGTCCCCTAGTAACTGACTCTTCCACCCTGGGAAAATGCTTCTGAATATCCACTCTGTCCATGCCCTTCATAACCGTGTAGACCTCTATCAGGTCGCCCCTCAACATATGTTATTCATCTTGTAGCTGTTTGGGATTATGCACCAAGTTATTGCATCTTGTAGCTGTTTGGGAGAAGCTTGCTGGCTGCAAATTGTCTACCGTCTCTCCTGCGTTACTGTAGTTTTGTTTGAGTTTTACTCAGACGGTTGTTGGGAGGCTGTGAAATTGGCTTCCAGGATTGGCGGCTGAGGCTGTATAAAGGTAAATTGTGGTAGACATTTAAAATCAGTGCAGGATTTGTTGTGCTGGGAACAACAGTTATTATGAAACTCTTTTGCACTCAAAAGTTTTCTTTTTAAGTAAACACATTCAGAAGTACATCCAGCTCTACCGGGAGCTATTCTTTCAAAGAACAAACAAATTAGCTCCCTGAAAGTTCCAACTCTTCCTTCACACTCGCAGTTGGTTATTACAGCTCAGTGTTTCCAGTGGACGCCTGTGTTTAGAGTGAATGAACAGCGATTGGAGAAAGAAATGTTCGGGCAATTTCAATAAGTCAACTTGATAGAATTGGAACAGAGACAGTCTATTTTCTATTGTGGGAGGCTCTAGAACAAGATGATGGTCTCTCAAAGCATGAATAAGCCATTTGGGAGAGAAATTGGGCTAAAGGTTAGTTCTATCAATCTAAAACTCTCTTTGCTAAGAGCTTGTGGTTGCTGGGGATTAATTAGAGTATCCAAAAGAGAGATTGTCATAATTCTGTCAGCTAAAGGTATGATGGGAATTGAAGTTATGATGGATAAATGGAGTTATGGTATAGATCATACCCTCCATTATTGGTACATGATAGCAACAGCATGCACCATCTACTAAATGCACTGCAGCAACTTATCAAAGCTCCATCGGCAGCACCATCGGAACCCATGAGTTGAGCCACCTAGAAGGACAGCAGTAGAAGATGCACTACACTACCAGCTCCTACTCACACCCTTTGAGTCAACAATCAGTCTGACTTGAAGATATATCTGCATTACAATGCTAAACTTCTGGAACTCCCTCATTAACTTCACTGTGGGCATAAATACTCTACACAGATTATTAAGGTGATTCACCACCACCTTGTCAAGGGTAATTAGGAACAGGTAATAAAACGGCTTTCATATCTCATGGATAAAACAATAATGAAAGGTTGAATGTGATCTAATTGAATGGTGGAGCTGGCTTAAAGGGCTGCAATTGAATGTTGTAACAGGCTCAAGGGGCTCAATGCAGGAGTAAAGGAGCAATGGACACAGGCATCAGAATGGACCATTTTGCTTTTTAAGATTCAATAAGATCATGGTTGATCTTGTTGTGATCTCAGCTCTACTTTCTTGTCTCCACCCCATAACTGTTGACTATCAAATGACCGACTCCTGTTCCTACATGCCCTCCTGTATTGTCATAACATTGATGTCACGTTGCATCAAACTGTCCCTGACACTTGTCCCATCGCACGCCAGGACTATTGGTGCCAACTGCATTTGCATTGCCACTGGCTCCGCTGAGAACAATTAGCTTCCTGGAGGAGGAAGTGGGGAAGATTGGCTGGATGTTGTGTATTTGAGAGGTATTTTGTATGTGACGTATTTATGATTTCTGCGTGAAAGTCAGTGTGAAGAAACAACTTAAGGATTTATTTATTTTCACAGCCAAGATTATTATAAGTCTTACTTACTGAAGCAGAGACGAGGTGTTCTTGAAACTTATCACTGTGGGTTTTGAACGTAGGCTTGCTGGTTTCCATAGAGACATGATTACATTGAGGATAAACTTATAGCCTTGTTTGGAAAGTGATGGCCTATGTCAGTTTGCTCTGTCGTATCTCCCTTCTGACACACAGCTTACATTTCACTTTCTTTATTCTTTATTCTCAAAGCTTGTTAAGAATCTGAAGTGAAATTAATTCTCGAGTAGTATGTTAATTCAGTTATCACTGGATGTAATACTAGGAACAGGAACTTTCCATGAAAGTGAACACAATCAGAATTAACTCCAATAAAGCATGATGTAGTATTTTGCAAGCAAGGTTGAAGAAGAGGTGACTCTAGTTTCTAGGCGGTAACAGGTTTTATTCACTTTTTTTTAAAAACATGTCCAGTCTAAGTAGTTATTTGATAATACATTTATTGCTGAAATAAGACATCTTTTATCAAAGCTTTTCATTTTATATTCATCAGAACATTTCACAAGAAATACCAAAATGAAGGGAAGACGACACTTATATTGTAAGAGAGGAAAGTGCTGATTGATTGGCAAGTGCACTCTGATTGGTAGAGACATTGCCATGGAGGATGTGCCAGTTAATGTTGACTGACAGTTAACTGCTAAGCTTTGTTTTAACCTTAAACTAGTCAGGTTGACACTGGTTGATGAAAGCATTTCTGTGAGAAATGAAAAGGCTGTCACCTATTTTATTGGGTTGAAATAGATGCGCTATGTGTGCGTAGTCTTTCTGCCAAAAAACAACAGGACCCTATGTATTAATATGTGTAGCTGCTAATGTACATAACTGTACCACACTGTGAGGCCAACTAAAAACAAGCTGTCAGTATAATACATTGCACATTTGGGATTATTTAGCAAATGTCATCCAATCACAGAATCACATTTAATGTTCGACACTGTTCTGGGCATTGCAAGTGTGGCTGGTTGGATATGATCAGAACTTTGATTATTAAGAATAGTGCCTTTTAAATGTTGCAATTGTACCAGCCTCCACCACTTCCTCTGGCAGCTCATTCCATTAAAAGCACCACACTCTGCGTGAAAATGTTGCCCCTTAGGTCCCTTTTATATCTTTCCCCTCTCACCTTAAACCTATGCCCTCTAGTTTTGGACTCCCCCACCCCAGGGAAAAGACCTTGCCTATTTACCCTATCCATGCCCTTCATGATTTTATAAACCGCTGTCAGATCACCCGTCAGCCTCCGACTCTCCAGAGAAAATAGCCCCAGCCTATTCAACCTCTCCCTATAGCTCAAACCCTCCAACCCTGACAACATCCTTGTAAATCTTTTCCGAACCCTTTCAGGTTTCAAAACACCCTTCTATTGCAGGGGGACCAGAAATGCATGCAGTATTTCAAAAGTAGCCTAACCAATGTCCTGTACAGCCACAACATGACCTCCCATCTCCTGTACTCAATGCACTGACCAATAAAGGCAAGCGTACCAAACACCTTCTTCACTAGGAGCTCGAACAGTTCATCCACTTCACCAACACCTTCCACCCCAACCTTAAGTTTACCTGGACCATCTCTAATACCTCTCTCCCCTTCCTGGACCTCTCTGTCTCCATATCGGGCAACCACCTAGAAACCGATATTCATTTCAAGCCCACCGACTCCCA